ATTCAGAAAAATATAGTTCGAACCTTTCATCTTGCAATACAAGCTCAAAAAGTCAATTTCATCATAGAGGACGGTTTGGGGTATTTTTGAGGTCCTCTCAGTAATTTGAGTTTTTCTCCATGAAGAACACGGGACTTCCAATCACACTTATAATTAGACTGCATATCGAACCAATTTCGAAATCATTGGGACGATCTTGAGTATTATTGTTTTGGACATAAACTGTTCCATGGCTGCTATTTTCAACAAGGTGCATCATTTTCCTCTTCAAATCACCTGAAGCAGCTTATATATAGCGCCGGATCGTTGGTTCGACCAGTTGCCTATAAGGTGGATTTCACCTGAAAAGCGACCGGTCGCTTAGCTACCTTCTTCCACTAAGAAGAGGTATCAAGAAGAGAAAATGCCAACTTCAGAGCAACTTATGTTTAAAACAAAAATGTGCAAGATCATCAGAATGGTTTCGAAAATGGTTCAGTATATGGCCTAACTGTCGATGTGATTAAAAGTTGCATGTTTTGTTTCGTTTTAAGCAGGATGATCTCCAGAGTTGCAGCAGTCCAGAACTTTAACTCTCACAGCTCCATCTACCGTGGCGAAAGTACAAGTTTGTGGTAAAAACTATCTAGTATTTACGAAGCGACTTTCGAGCCTAAGCAATTTGTTATTAGAGAGTTAAGTTTAAGTTGACAATCCTTTAAAATGACCTAATTTGATCACAGCGAATCACATCGTGGCCTTTGTAGAACGTCTCATAAGTTAAAAGATTCCAATACTAAAGGTGTTTTTTTTTCTTCCTTTCCCTGCATGCTGAAATAGAGACATACAAGGCTGTGTTGATTGTTGACCTCATTCACTCATGGTTTCATTTTGTTCTCTTACTATTCTTGAATACAATCTTTTTAAAGGTATTTCATGGTGCCTCAAGCACGTGAATAATAAATATGTCATAACTACACCATTTCTATAGTTCTCCGAAATTTTCTTTCTACGTTACAAATTTTATCTCGCGATAGTCAAGCAGCTGCTTGTGTACTTTCATTTGCAATATTACAGGTTCCACCGAAACTCGGTTGGGGTAAGCGTGTATGTTGTCTATTTGATAATAAGTCAGCTTACCAGTTTTCTGTGTATAGAAGGTGAGTTGGCTTGTGAATAGCTTCCATCTATTTTCGATCACTTTTATAAAACATCTGTGCCGAACCTGCCAAGTCTTTTGTTTTATCTCTAACATTTGAGAACAGTGCATCTCGTATTCGTAATGTTGAAATAACAGATGGTAATGATATTAAATTGAACAATAGAGGCGCGAAAATAGTGAATGATTATAATTCTAACTACGATGTCAGAATTATATTTGTTTTCACCTTTGAAGTGACATTTTTCAAAACCGTCACAGTTAAAAATTCTTGGTAGAAGCAAACATAATTCGAACATTTGGAGTGCGTATAATCGTCGGGAGAAAATGCGGGTTACATGCGGGGTACGAAAATTTGGGTTTTCAAGCTGTTTCAACTATTAAAAAGTTCACTTTTTACTCAATAAACATCGGAACGAGTTCAGACCTTCAGGACATGGTCGATTTTCTCCGCTAAACGTGATTATAAGGTCGCAGAAATTGAAAAAACATATTTGCGCTAACGGTTTTCCAGAAACCCTATTGGAAAATCTGAGGGTTTTGTAAACCTTTTTAAAAAACTCCAATAAATAAGATATAGAATAGCTTAAATACTCTATACCTCGAAGGTCTGAACTCGTTTCGATGTTTATTGAGTGAAAAGTGAACTTTTTAATAGTTAAAACAGCTTGAAAACCCAAATTTTCGTAAAACTCACTTTTCGGTAGACTTTTAGAACTTTTTCTAAAAACAAATATTGCTATAAGACTCAGCATGATCGATTACCTAGATTCAACAAACTTCATCATAGAGGACGGTTTGGGGTATTTTTTAGGTCTTCTCAGTAATTTAAGTTTTTCTCCACGAAGAAATGGCTTTTGGAGGCTCGGAAGGTGTTATTCATAATTTTGTCTTACTGTTTCTTTTTGCTCTATATGTAGTAATAGACTGTATACGTCATATCTGAACGATGGAAAAGATTTGAAAACAGTATTGCAATCACTTCAATATTCTCGCAACATGAAAATCAAATACTAACTGTAAATATATGTCTTCCTGTGTAAATAGATATCTCCCGGCGCTTATACGCACCCCAAATGTTCGAATTGTGTTTCCTTCTTTCAAGAATTTTTAACTATAACAGTCTTTAACTGTACCAGTTTTACAGTTACAGTTAACTGCGTTTTAACTGAAACTGGTGCGTACCTAATTAGGATGATGTGCCTATAAAACCATCTTTCAAAAATAGACGTCTCTAAGTCCGCTGAACGTTAAAAGTTGGGCCATGTCCGATGTGAAATGCGCGTCAAAAAGTTGTATCGTCGCAAAGATATTGAAATTTTTCGGAAAGTCATGAAAAACACGGATTCCTCAAAATCGCCCAAAACGATCATTTTTGGGCAGTTTTCAAAGCCTCTATATTGAAAACGAAAGTTCAGACCGTCATACTTCTACCAAATATGCTTTGACACATAATCTATTCGGAAATATGGTTGAATTTGGGCCCTCAACTTGTTCTCATATTACGACTAAATTCGTCGCAAAAAGTTGCGTGTCGAACTGGTTTTATGAATTTTTAATATACTACAGCAGAAACACGCTGATGGAAACAAGCCTCCAGAACTCGATGCCTCCAACCGAACCCCGAAGCCATTTTAGCGAAACCCACAAATCATACAATGGACTATGATACTACATCTAGTACACGCTGTGTTACTAGAGTACTGCAGAATAGCCCCGTTTCCAAGGAGAAAAGCATTCCTCGAAATCGCGCAAAACGCTCATTTTTTGGGCAATTTCTAAATCTTCTGCATTGGAAATGAAAGTTGAGATTGTCAAACTTCTACCAAATAGGCTCTGACACATAATCTATTTGGAAATATAGTTGACAGTCTCACGGTCAACTTCGTTTTAAATGAGTGCTTCAGAAAAATTCAATGTCTTCTGAATTTGGGCCCTTAGTGCGCCATCTATTACAAAATAACGAAAGCATGTTGTGAGCTGGGTTGAGGTGGTTTTGTAGTAGATACTATCTACGATTTATGGTAAAACCTTCGAGATTAAGCAATCTGTCATTACTGAGTTACAGGAGTTTAAATTTGGGAACTTTTCAAGGTGGCGGAATTCACATTTTTCGGAACTCTTCGCAAAATTTCAATTCTTTAGCAACGATACAACTTTTTGACTTGCGCCTTAAATTCATCAGAAGTTTTGGTCTAAAAGAGTCCTCTTTGAAAAAGTTTTGAAAACATCGAGTGAATACTGCTCCAGTGTAATAGGCCATGCCTTAGATGCAATGGCTTTTAGACGCGTTTGTGTCACAAAAAATGTTTTTTAATGTAGTAACTAATTTTGATTGGATCATACAAAGAATTGGACTGTATATTCACGAATCTTCAAGAGAATTTAAGAAATTTGACTTTCTTAAGGTGGCCAAATACTACTTTGCCACTCGGAAACGGAAGTTTTCCACCGAATCATCTAAGTCTTCATGTAGATACATATCCTGTTTATCTTACTGTAAAATATATGATCGCGACGAAAACCGTCTAGTACCACTTGAAATCTGCTCAGTTTTGGTTATTTTTAGAATGTGGTTTTATAGTTTACATTTTCCCTGCATGCAAAGTCTTCAAAAGCAGATATTTCTTGTAGATTTATGTTTTTGATAGTTCGATTTTGATAAGATGGCATATAATAATCCAGAGTTTGAGGAGTTTCGACAGAAAGTACAGGAATTGTTGTGTGAGGATGATACAGTTTTATTAAACGAATTAAGACGATTTATAAATGACCGAAAAAATGAAAGATATAAAGAACTAATTCGACAACCGCATATTCAACGTTTATCAGGTAGTACCGATCAGTCACGTGAATTTATTTGGATTCTCGATGAATTAACGTTACTTACTTCGCCGATGAATTATGACGAAAAACAGACACCACAAGACGCCAAAAATACATTTTTGTACGATTTTATAGTAGAAGCTGAATTATTATCAAAATTCAAATTACTCATTTTATTCAAAAAATTTTACAAAGATAAATTTCCCCAAAAATATGAAGGAATCGCTATTGCAAAACCAGGTAAGTTCCCTTTTGTTGGAACAGATTCAAATGGAATTATTGAAGAATCTGTTGTTTGTTTTTAGAGCTCGATGATGCCATTCATTACCTGAGTGATAATCTAAACATACGTGCACAAATTCATCAATTTTTTGCTCATTTTTTGAATCTGGACATATTTTTCGGTATAAATCCAATAAATCCCGCTCGACCGCTAGATCAGATTACATATCAAATTTGGTATGACCTATTGCAGAAAGCACGAATCAGATTGGTCAAGAATAAGCAGGAAGATTTAACACCAGAATATCTTATTAAGAAACTGGAAGAAGTCGATTTAGTAAAGATGGGCAATGGTTTGAAGGTGAGCTGTTTACGACTGATATCTTGCTGTATCATAATACTGAGAGGAGGAACCAGAAACTTTAAGCAGTGGTGTATTTTAAGTTTTTTTCGGCAGTTCGTAATAGCTAGAAGAAGGTACGATGGATATGAACAAGATTCTTGGAAAATAGAGTTTCCAGATTTTATCAGAAAGTTTATTATATACAACTCGATCAGATAGAACACATATTTTTGGACAAAACAAGAAGTATCCTTGCTGTTGATAACAATATTTTGCCAAACGACGCGCCATCTACGAACGGCTCTTTTTGTCTATCTATGGTGCTGTTTTTGATAGTCTCGTATCTTGTACCTGATCTAGATTGAATGCAATTCTAGATGAAAACATGTCGTGGAGATCTCGACAACGTCTTGTTTCGTCTAGGAAGTGCTTGCTATCACGGTGAAGCTAAATAGTCAAATATCGTCTATCATTGCCAAAAGGCAGCGCCGGTAACTACTTGCCGAATAACTCTTAAACTCGAAACGTTAGACAGTTGCGATTTTCAACATTCGATTGCCGAGACTTGACAGCATGTTTTCTAAGTCAAACGTTTTAGAAATTATTTCTAAAAGCTGGTTCTCCGGAGCTCTCTGGGGAACCGTCTCATAACCCGAAAATTTATTTATCTGCTCAATGTGATTCTGTATTTAACATTGGTAAACCATATTCTTTTACTTTGAAAAATTACTTGGAAACCTTTTCCGAATCCCAAAGTATTTTATGTTGATTTTTTAGAAGTTCTGTTGTTCTCCATGGTATAGTGTAGATAAAATAGAGTATATCTCGATATTTTGACGTACACTGTAGTCGTGAATTAATTTTCAGTTTATAGAAAATTGACCGAAAAATCGACGGGGATTTTCTAGTTTACAGAAATTTCTCGAAAAATTTCCGGTTTTCTAGGACATGTCGATTTTCTAGTTTATAGAAAATCGACTTGAATTTTCATGAATTCGATTTTCTATGGAGGATGCTTTTCTAGAAGAATCGCTGAAGAATTTCTATAAATAATTTCCAAGAATCTGGAAATTCGATTTTGGTTTTCTATAAACTAGAAAATCCTCGGCAATTTTCTAGAAAGTGGAAATTCGCCCAGGAATTTCTAGACCAAATACTTATTCATCTTTTTGTTTTGCAATCAGTGTGGGTATAAGAGCGTCACGTAAAGTCACTCATATTACACTTAAATCAGCTTTCACAGTTTCTACTTTATACCACAAGGCCTTTAGATTCTGCCTATGCCAGCAAGCAGTTTGATTTAGACAGATACAGTGGTAGCGCGAAGTTTTAGTAGGAAGGTCCGAAAATCGGAGACGTTCACCAGAAATTTTTCAAAAGCATGAGCGGGGTCAACTTATAGAAAATCAAAAAGGAATTTCTACTTTCTTGAAAATTATTTGTGGAAATTCAAGAGCGATTTTCTAACAAACTGGAAAATCAAGGAGGATTTTCTAGATCGTTGGAAATTCGATTTTCTATAAACTGGAAAATCCTCGGGTAGGTACTCTTTGAAATTCGCCGAGCATTTTCCATAAATAATTTCCAACCTTACAGTGTAGTTTGGATCGATTTTAGTTACGATAATTGTTGCTGGAACTTTGATCTATTATTTTATCTATTTAGAGATATCTCAGAGAAAAAGGTCACAAAATAGAAGATGATTATGTACCCAAGCGGTGTCTGTGACCGATTTCAACTTAAGGTAAGTTAAAACCCTCTAAAGTTATATAAAATTGAAACTTTTGATGTAGAAAGGTCGATCTATCGATAGTAAAAGTATATAATATGCCACTAAATTGAGAACACTTAACGCTGTGAGAATGTCAAAGTTCAAATTGTTTTATACTAAGAACTTGAATGTGTCCATCTGTTTTATTAAGCACCACATTTGGCTACCACTGTAGAGTGAAAGAAAACCACTACCATCGGACAGAATTTGGTTGATGATTCCTTGACATAACAGGATGATCTATACTTTTAAAACGGTAGTTGCGCAGTTCATAGTGTTTATTTACAATTTTCTGTCACTGTCTAATGAAGTTTATTACAACGTTGTTTCTTTCCATTCTAAATAAACTCGATATAGGGAAAAAGATTCAAAATGCAAAAAAGGTAAACTAAAACAAGGGTGAATGTGAGAAGTTTTACTCATATTTCTATTATACACGAACATAGAGAGGTGAGCAGATCTTCTATAAAACAAAGACGTTCAATATTATACAAAAGTATGCAGAATATTTCAAAGTCCTTCTCACTCAGAAGAAATTGACTTTTCTTCAGCAAGGTGCTGAAACGGACAGAAGTTCGCATAAAAATGAAGTTGTTTAATGGGCACTAACTGAAATTACCTCAGGAGATTCAAAAAACTTTTCCAGATTTTTTGTTGAGTTTTATATCTGACCTTCAAGTTTTATCGGCAATTCTAAAAGCGTACAATACCTGCATATAATAAGATTTTTTGAAAATCTGATATGTACACTTTTTTCTTTTTGTCATTCACTCCTGTTGATGGCCCTTGAATAAAGGTCGAAAGCTCGAGTAGTGTTTTAAGTGATAACTTGAACATGCATTTTGTCGCAGTGCTATATTTCTTACTTAAATCTATTTTCTTCACTGCACCACCTCCAAATTTTGAAACCGTTAAGTAAAATTTCTTGTTTTTCGGCGACCTGTTTTGCTGACGCATTATTAAAAAAAGAACATAAAGCGTCTGCTTTTACTACCATCATGTCGAATGTCGAGGAGAATACAACTGAATACAACTCTACACAAGAAATAAGCGTGGCTACAATGTATCCAAAAAACACAACTGTATTCGTCAACCAAGACGATGTCCATATTCAACAAGTCTCACGCTAATTTCGGACGGTACAAAGCCCTACCGAGTAATACACAGCAGCCTTCCGCCATTACATTAAAAGCGCAATATTTGTTTTTCTCGTACATTAAACTTGTTCGTCATACTCTTTCTAATATATTTGTGATACAAAAAATTCATTAATGTTCTTAATTAGCCCAGATAATTGTCATTTGAATTAAGCTCTAATTCATCGTTCATTTCAGTGAGAATCGCCAAATTGCCCCATGATTTCTGGTGCGTTTGCCAATTTACCCCATGTGGGGCAAATTGGCAAAAAGTTTTTTTCAAGTGCACTGATCAATTCATCGGAGCTCAGGTAATTCTAATAGGCTTTTAATAAGCTAGCAAAGTGCACGGAGCAAATCGGCAAACGTCGTCGAGGTAGCCCATTTTTGACGATTTTGAAAAGATTTTTACATGGATCAATAGAGGAAAGTCTAACTCATATGTCTGCAAAAACTCGCAGAAAATTTTCAAAAATTAAGAGAATTACGATTAAAATACTGCAAGGTGGTAGAATTTCGTGCCAATGTACCCCACTCCATTCTACTTTTGATTTTCATTATCAGATTTTTATGATCATTGAAATATACGCGTGCTTCAAATCTTGAGCAGCTATGATCTCTTTTGTTTCATACGTGGACTTGTTTTATGTTTTCATTTTCAAGTTTGTCTTCAGATAAGAAGAAGAAGAGAGACACAGAAATGTACTGCTTCCTGTGTCAATAAACAGTGAAGAATGAGAAGGCGACGAAGCAATCGCATTCCACTAGCAAAAATTTATTTCTTACACAGCAGGTAAGTATAGTCTGACTGAAGCAGATAAGATTTTAGTCGAGGAATACAGAAAGAATCTTCCTGCTTGGAGAGTGTGATAGAAGGTAATCATCAGTTGTCAGTAAAAGTGAAGAAAATAGATTCGTTCTTTGAGATTAGCACAAGACTTCGAATAGTTAAGAAGCCGGCAGAAAGTGTAATTATGCGAATTCTTCACCGATGGTAGTCAAGAGCATACCAGTCTAATGAGCGGATGAGTTACCCAGAACCATGAAAACAGCGTCGTTAACAGATCATAACCGTAATGTTAACGGACCATTTTTACGTCGTTGAACTCGGGCAGTTTTACGGTCGTTTTCACAGACTATTTTTTCATCGTTAATGCAACGTTTTATCAATTTTGCATTTAAAAGTTTTATTTTCCACTAGCTATCTCGAAAAAATTGTTTGTGGCACATTTTGGTTCGTCGTGCCATTTCTCGTACCAATTCTAGGATCACAATACTATCTTGTGTCAAACCAATGGTCACTTCCTCTAATCAAGTTTCATTGAGCTGTATATACGAGCAAAGGAGAGATTCTAAGTATTCGCCGAATACTTAGAATCTATGCAGAACTACTAGTATATATGCAACGCTGACTTACTTCGGAAGTAAGTCAGCGTTGCATATATACTAGTAGTAATACCAAAATCAACGAGCTGAATGACTTGGCCTTAAAAATCTAGAATTTAGAGCATAATTAGAATGAGAACATTAGACAACTAGTATGTTTTTTCCTTCTACTACTATTCTCAAAAAATGAAAGTCGCTGAACTATAACAGCAATAATCATAACAGGCAACGCAAACGACTTCTAGTAAAATTTGACAAAAGTTGGCAAATGTCTTATTTACCTATTTTTGTCTTATCACAAATATGTTCAATGATCGACTGTCTGCTTTTTTCGAGAGAACGAAAATTGCTCGCTACGAAAATTGCTCGCCATGTAAATTGCTCACTACGCAAATTGCTCGAACGTTTTTTAATCATTGTTAAGAAGAATGGTACCCAATTATCCCTTTATTATTTGTTCAAGATGATAATAACGCGTAGTGTTCCTTTTGAAAAGGATCAATCACTGTCACAAGTTGCTCTTTCGATATCAGTAATAATGATCCGTTTTTTGGATCAAGCAAATTTGTTTTTTCAAAAGGGATCAATTCGAGTCAATCTTTTTCAGTCAATCTGGATCAATCAATTATCATGATTGATCAAAAAAGGACAATCTTATCTGAATAGCTTATAAATAGAACACTTCTGTGCCATTTTGTTGCGAAGTTATCGAAGTTTTATATGTTTGCATGGCCACGTTTAGCGTTAGTACAACCGAAAAAAGTAAGCCACTTCTATTATTAAATGGTTACAATTACATAGTGGATAGATCTAATGGATCTAAAATATATTGGAAATGTGATCAGGCTCGTAAAGCCTCATGTAAAGGTCGAGTTCATACTGACAATCCATCAACAACAATTTTATATGAATCTGATAATCATAATCATTTTGGTAATGCCGTTTCAAGTGATATTAGAAGATTTGAAGAAAATGTGCGTTTTCGTGCTCTTAATACCAATGAAGGAACACAAAGTATATTAGACAATTGTTTACGTAATTTAATCGACGAAACTGTTGCTCGTCTTCCTGTTTTTAACCATGTTAAACGTAATATTCAGAATCAACGTAAAAACAATGATCTACCAACAATTCTACATGACAAAACATTCGAGAAAATTCCGGATAAATTATGTGTAACATTACGTAATAATCACGTAACACCAACAATGTTCTATCAATTATATGCTATACATGTATTATATAAAGATTCTGTTATACCAACGGTTTTTGCATTATTACCAAATAAAACTCAACAAACGTATCAACGACTCATCAATGAAACAGTTCAATGTTGTCCCTGGTGGAGTCCTGATTCTATAATGATGGATTTCGAACGAGCAGCTTATAATGCTTTTCGGGGTAGCTTTGTCACAACATCACTTTCAGGATGTTTTTTTCATTTACAAAACAGTATTCAGAGAAAAGTACAAGTATGTATTTTAGTGTTTTTTTTTTATTAATAATTATAATCGAACGCATGACTATGTGATATATTTTCCTACGTTTAGGGATTAGGTTTTAAAACTAATTACGAAACTGATCCAATATTTGCACGCAATGCACATAAAATTAGTGCACTTGCTTTTCTTCCGGTATCCGATGTTGGCCAAGGATTTGATGATTTATATAATGCATTACCATCATTATATCAACCATTACTTAATTATTTTGAAGACACATATTTAGGTAGACATCGACCAACTTGTAGATCAGATCCATTATTCCCAATTGAATTTTGAAATATGTATCAAAGAACAACTGAACTATCTATGCGCACAAATAATTCAGCTGAATCATGGCATCGTCGTTTAAGCTCTGTTATGCAATGTCAATATCCATCTCTTTGGTCTTTTATAACTAGTTTACAAAATGAAGAACATTATATACATTGTCAAACAATCAAACTTCATGCTGGACAAAAAATTGCTCCAAATAAAAAATATTTAGAATATAGTAAACGTCTTCGTCATCTTATAATGCATCCTGAAGCATCACTTCTACAACAATTAGATGGACTTGCACATAATATATAGTTTCATTATTATTTTTTAGATTGTATATACATCTGTGAGTATGTGTTTGAAAGTTTAGTTACATTATCATGAATAATAATATTTAAAATAAAATACATTACATAAAATATGGATGCTGCTTTTATCAAACGGTTACTGTTTTCTAAATCAATTTAATGAACATTCGAGCAATTTTCATAGTGAGCAATTTACATGGCAAGCAATTTTCGCAGCGAGCAATTTTCGTAGACCCGCTTTTTTCCTTCAGGTAAAACCAACGTATTTTTACCTAAAGAATACATACAATCAATTCTTGATCATAGAGCCAAGTTTCGCTTAAACGTAGTTGTTTGTTTCGTTTCAGATCAAAAATAGACAAAACACAATTAATAGAACCGTATCAAATAAGAGATATCTTCATTTCTTTTCTAGTTTTCTGAAAATTTTGTTTGGTTTGAAATTGTTTTCTTTGCTGAGGAGATTTGAGAGGAAAAATGAACTAGTATTAATGACGCTAAGGTATAATGATAAAATATATGTCAAAAACTGATAGGACTAAGAAACAGAAGGAACAGGTTTGTCAAGTTCCCAGCTAATGTCTGATGAAACAAAATGAGTTTGAAAGTACAGACTTTAGTACTTAAAATCATCACCATCTCTAGACAACTTCTGTCATCATGAGATATCAAAGACATGACATGCAAAAAATGAATCCGTATATTTCATCTTTCTTCCAGATAGATGTGCTTTTATATGCTCTTAGATATCTTTAGATTTCCTTCTTTTCTAATCGTATACGGATGATGACAATTTACTGCTGTACACATACACACAAGAAACGAACTTCTTTCGTTCTATTTCTTTTCTTTGTTGCGTCAAAAATAAAAAGAACATTTATGGTTTCTCGCTCGACTATTTTACCATTTTCGTGCTACTTTCAAGAGATCAGTTATGCTGGTTTAATAAGTTTTTTGATCGTTTTTGCAAACTTTTACCTTTTAGAACCGTTATTTGTGTTAATATTTAGCAGAGATACTGCCCCGTTATTCCTTGATTTGATTTATTTTTTATTTCTTCCTCCCAGTAACAAATCGTAATGGCTGCAAATGAATGTAGCATTAGAGTTGTATGTCGTTCTCGTCCGTTAAACGATTTAGAAGAACGTGACGGAAGTAAAAATATTGTTAAATTCTCAACTAATCAAGATGAAATTCTTATAACTGTATGTGGCCCAGAGCTTCGTATGGACTCAAATTTTTGAGTCCAGTCCAGTCCATGGACTAAAAAAGTCTAGTCCAGTCCAGTCCGAGTCCATGAAATCCAAAAAATCTGAGTTCAGTCCAGTCCATACGGAGCTCTGATGTGGCCCCTATAAAAGTAGTGCTATCAGATTTAAAGTTAGTTTTAGAAATCTTTTTTAGGACAAACGTTATGTATTTGACAAAGTATTTCGGGCAGAAACAAAATCAACACTCGAATTTGGAAAACGGTACGATAAAGATTGTTGTTGAATAAGCTTAATTCTCGTATATTTATTTTAGTGCTAAACCCATAAAAAACTTCCCTAAGGTTAATGAAGAATCGACAGCTGAAGAATGAAAACGTCGTTATGAAGAAGAACATAAGAAGGTAGCTAATCTCGAAGAGCAACTTAGTCGAGCAAAAGCTGAGTTAGAACGATGGAATAAAGAACGAACAACATTGCATCAACAATTAAAGGAAAATGTAAATAGACAAGATATTTGGGTAGCTCACAATTTTGAGACACTCAATGTTTTCGTCATAGGACGATGAAATTAACAACCAGTCACAATTAAATGAACGCCTTAAATTACAATTGAAAGATGAAGGCTTTAATCCCATTTTTAAGACATTCGACTTGATTTTGAATGTTGAAAGTCGATAATAAATAACTGATCGATCAATTATACGTGGGATTTCTGGAAACACATGCATATAACAAATGAAATAAAACACAGAAGAAGTGTAAATTACTGTTCCATCGGCTAACGCTGATATAAAGTTTCTATTTCTTTTTTTAATTGCGTCAGAAATGAAGGAGAAATGCGAGACATGTGCACGATAGAAAAGAAATAAAGATACCTCTTATCTGATAGGGCTCTAATTTTCAGTTACGCACGCATTCTGCGTGCCAAAGAGTCTCAAAATAGTGTTATTTTCTATAGTACTGGTTGGGATGAGTGGTAAAGGAAAAAGAACAATTCACCGCAGTAACGGCAGATTTTCGCTTGGGATGTAAAGATCATAATCCTGAACACTGCGACACTTCTAGGCTTATAAACCAAAGCTTTTGCAAGATATGAATTTTTTATGATTTAGACAGCTTTTAGTGAAAATTCACCATTGAAAACCTAAAAACTTGTTACCATCTTTTAAATACCTCTGTTCACGCTGCAGAAGCTCAGCGGCTCATAGGGACCTATATCTAAATGAAATAAGTCTTTCCTGAGTCGACAGAGGTATCTAAAAAGTGATAACAAGTTTTTAGGTTTTCAATGGTGAATTTTCACTAAAAACTGTCTAAATCATAAAAAATTCATATCTTGCAAAAGCTTTGGTTTATAAGCCTAAAAGTGTCGCAGTGAGTACACAACATGGATCTTCAACTGTGGTGTAAATTTCCGATTCCTAGCTGATCATGGTAATGAGCTATTAATTAATTATTATTAATGGTATTTTCATTAATTAACTCATATCTCCGTCAAAACGTCGCATGGGCCCAAACCAACTTGGGGTTTTTCACTACTGACTATTCCCTACATGATGAAAATAGTCTGAGTCGAAATGCTCTTAATGACCTCTAGAGGTTCCCTCGTGAGAGTATGTGTTAAACCGTGTCTCCCTAGAAGTCGTACGTTATTCTTATAAGATTCTTGCAAGATTCTTATAAGTAACATGATCGAACCTCCTACAGTGGTAGTGAAAAAAATCCAGCATTACCAGTGCCGATGGCATACTATGTTCACCGGTACGTACTAGTTCCACATTTTTCCAGTTATGTACACAGTAAATTCAGCTCTCTGTTCCTTTATTCAAATAGGTCTCATTTTCTAGTCTAAACAAGTACTGTAAATAACAGACACTATTTTACGTCTCGTTTAAAATGAGATAAAAACGTTTGTATCGTCAATCATACACGTGGCGAGAGTATATGTATACGTTTATACCACGTGGAGCAACCTATGCTTTTCAAACATTTTGAAGAGCCATGCTTCCTACAAACGCAGATATATGTTGTAGCGAAAACTGAATTCTGGAAATGAGCATGTGCATGCACATGCATCTCCGTTCTTGCCGCGGAAAACTCTCATTCCACTCTTCGCTAGCGAAATCTAGAATTTCACCGAATTCCAGTTTTTGCTACAACATATATATATATGTGATATAAGGCACTTTATTTGTCAAGTAGACTACTTTTATACTCGAACTTTTTGCAGTTTATATCTGCTTTATGAACATTTTTGAAGTAGAACTAAATCAGTAAAATAACCAATTCACAGAGCAAGTACACAGCACTTGCAGTAAGTGAGAGAATAGAGATGTATAACATCCTTTCTATTTACTGTCGCTCGCACAGTTGTAAGTTTTCTTCATTCATTTTGGGTATCAAAAATGCCTTTCTCAGTATATAGACTCAGTTAATGTTTCCTGTGTAAAGATCTCAAAATAGAACTGCACAGAAGTGAGAAATGCATGAAAGGTTAATTTTATAACAATTGTGAGTATCTTCAGTGTAATATCGCTTCACCGTTAGTGACTCTACGGATGTAGCGATGATCAGTTCCGTTCTGTTTGACGCTTACAGAATTCGGGTCAGCCATTCCACCTCATTCGCAGAATATTAGATTGGCTCTAATAACGAACTGATCCTAGCGATAACATCTACATTCTCTGAAAGTCCAAGCATGAATGTTTTCTTCACATATGGCAAATGTTATACGGTAAAACCCACAGGCGAGCTATAAAACATTTAACCGCTCTCGGATGGTTTAGACAAAGAGAGGACGTGTTAATAAAATTGCTGTGTACAAGTTTGATCGCAACTTCAAAGTGAGTCTGAGGTGAATGATTGATCCTGATTGCATTATGTTCCCGAAGAGAAAACTGGGTAAAACACCGTGAAATCAGTGTTTCAGCCACCTTAGGACACACTTTCATTTTTAGTGACACTTTTATATCAAACGTTGTTGTTTTTTACTTATTTTTGTGGCACATACGGACCGAGTTAATCTGCGAAAGAGATGTGTCTCAAAAGAAAACTTGTCTAGAAATTCGACTGTGTAGCATTGTGACTAGCGAAAATGAGACCTATTTAGATAAGGGAGCAGAGAGCTGAATTTACTGCGTACATCCTCTGAATTTACTACCTGACTCGCTATTTATACTGATTTTTCTATTCCAGGTAGAAATTAAAAATAAGACCAAAGCATTGTCTGCTCGGATTAAAATTTGATTGCACTATGTTCTCGAATAACAAACAGTAACTGAAAAAATGTGTAACTAGTACATACCGGTGCAACATAGCATGCCGTCCGCACTGGTACTGCCGGATTATTTTCAGTACTATACTGGAATTTTTCTGTAGAAGATTCGAGCATGTTACTCATAAGCATCCTACAACAATCTTATAAGAATAACGTACGAGTTTTGCTGACTCTTACCAATTCCTTATGAATTCTTGGGAGATGCTTATAAGATTCTTATAAGATGCTTGGAAGATTCTGGTAAATTCTTATATAAGAACCGATGACTAGGGTTGGTAGCCGATGATGACATATATACTATGAATAATGCCCTATTTAACGGTGAGAAGTTTTTGGCTCTAGCTTTTTCCAAGGTTGAGAAAATTAAATTACAAGATTATCAGTAGAATTAGTACGCCGGCGCTTAAAACTTAAATTATGTTTAAATTATATTTTTAATTAATGGTTTCAATTGAGAAACTTTGTTTATATATCAAAAGACGTAGAATTTAATTCTGTGTGGGATAATAAGACTAAAACCCTGGATTCAGAACGTTTTACTACTTTTATCGCCAAAAAACTAAAGTTTGTTAAAAATAGGTGCAAAAGTTAGTATTTTTAAGAGTTATCAGTTTTTTGCACAGAGAAATATTCCTAGAAGGTTTTACTGTAAAATTTCCAGAAATATGTGAGAAGATGCAGAATTTTCCAGTGAATCTTCTGATGTTTTCAAAATTCTTATGGAATCTCTTTTTGGATCAAGTAAATGTATTTCTATTTTCAGTGTGTTGCAGTTCGACAAGTCAGCATCGTTCAATATTTTGAATGGTGCTCAAACGAGAAAAATGCTCTCAGAGATTCAAATAGCACGTTTTGTAGAGAATTCAATACTCTATGGATTTAACCTAGAAGTACCAGTGGAAAGTGCAGTCTCAAAAACAAAGATGATCGTCAAAACATGATTAATCAAATGAGGCTTTTATCAACATTTTCAGGGAAGGAAGAAGATGATCCAGTGGATTGGTTACAATACATTAGTGAAAAATTAGATGAATTAGAAATACCGATAAAAGGTCATAAATATTATGTAACTACGAAATTTATCGATAAAGCACAGAAATGGTATCTAATTAATAAAGACGCAGTACCAGATGATTGTTCTTTGTTCGTCACTACTTTTGTCGATCAATTTGTTGTTACATCGCAACTTTGCATAATTTGTTGTTTCACGCAACTACAGCCGATTTCCCACTAGCCACAAGGGGCGTCAAAGGTCATTCGGGTGAAAGAGCGCTACAGAATGCTGGGAGCAGTCTTATTTTGCTCAGAATTTTTCGTTCTATCAGGCTATATGGCTTGCAAAATTTTCTCAATAAAAACTAAGGACTTGGTTTTCCAGCAGGCAGGTCTTCCGGAAGCTCTATTATCAACTTTTCTCATGAAAGGCGGACATGCGCCTAATTTGATAGAAAAATCTTCGGACTTTTCAAAACACTATTCAGATTGGTCCCAGCTTTTACTAAAAGGTCAAAAACAAGGGAGTTCTTGTGATTATGACACACGGTACTGCTTAGATAATACCCAAAACTTTCTTTTCAATATCTTTAATGACAGGCCCCACCGGTCTGTATATTGTGACCGACTCACTTTGTAGAGAATTTCAAGGGCTATCCAGTGGTATGTTTTGGAACAATACATAATTTTCATTATGGCAGAAAAACGACTAATGGAGTGTTGAAAGCCCTAACAGAGGTCAAAATCACTATATCGGACAAGTATTTCAACTAATGATCCATGTGGGCATATTTGAAAATTTTAATAACTTCTATCATTGTCACATTCCAAGCATTGAAAACATTCAAAACAGTTTAGTCAACTTTTCCAAAAAAGTAAAGTACAATGTTGTGGACAAGAACAATTTTAGGTAAGAGAATATACTGTCGTAAATGGCATAGACATTTGGATTATACTTGAAGAGAGAAATAAAGTGTTCACATTTTGATTTTGTAGCTTGGTTTTTACTCTCATTGCACTTAAATATTATCAATTCCCAAACTACTGCAGAATCACCCACAATGTTTTATAATTATATAATTACATATGAAGCTTTTGATC